AACTGTGGTTTGACATATAGAAAAACATAATTATTAAATCATGGGGGTAATATACAGAAATAAATTTTTCAAATAAAGAAAAGGTTTAGGCATAAATAAAATAATATTTTTATTCAAATATATGTATGTATGTACATGAATGTATTAGAATTTAATATTTTAAAATTTTTTGTTCAAAAAATTAAAAATAAAATTTTAAACACAAACATACATAATTATGACTGTATACCTATTTTTTTAAAACTGCGAGTGAACATACAGAAATAAATTTTTCAAATAAAGAAAAGGTTTAGGCAAAAATAAAATAATAATTGTATTCAAATATATGTATGTACATATGAATGTAATTTTTCAGATAAAGAAAAAGTTTAGGCAAAAACAAAATAATAATTTTATTCAAATATATGTATGTACATATGAATGTATTACATATTCTGTATATATATATTTTTAAAGCTTGCTGACGAAACATAATATTCAAAACAATAACAAATGAAGCATTAATATTTAGATGCCACAAAACATCTGATGTCTCATAAAAGCGGACATTTATTTAAGTTTATTTCGATTTTTCGAACTTAAAATATGTGAGATCATTTTATTTTCGAACATTATTTATTTCTCGTTCTCGGTTTGTGTTTCCAATAATAAAAAGTATTATTTATTTGTTGGTTTGCGTTTCTAGTAATATAAAGTATAAAAAAACCCCGCTTTTATTACACAAAAATTTTTTCAGAAAATCTTAAAATAGGGCTATTTTGGGGCTAAAAAGTTCCAATGTCAGATTTTTTTGGGACCCTAGAGGTAAAACCCTATCTAATGCCTTTTGTCCCATGTCTCTAGCCTTTTTAGAAGTACCCGTACTTTTTGACACCTGAGAAGTAGCTATATATATATAATAATATGCAAAATTTATCTTTGGTAATAATTGTTTTGTGATAGTGAAACATGTTGCTTTTAAAAGAAAATATAATTTTCTTTCCCTTTTATCCTGACTATTAAGAGCGTTTATATTGAATAGTAACTACATACGTAGTACTAAAACTATTAAATCGTTTGTAATGCAGCATTTTTCCCTTAAACAATCTATGTACATACTAAATTATTTTAATAACTTTCATTCATATACGAATATATTTCAAAGATTGCATACATTTAAGATGAGCAAAATATGCAATCTTTGAAATAAAACAAAAAAAAAATTTAAAGCGGAGTTAACATAATGCTCGAATTTAAGGGTTACTTGCATGAGTTAAGAAAAATAATTATATTTTTTGGTATGTACTGCTAGCTTTTTGTATTTATAGAAATTCGAAAAAGCTGTGCAGTTTCGGAAATATGCTATACCAAAAATTCAAATTTACAAATTTCGACAGGCGATAACTTGGGAGGGGTGGAGGTGGAAAAAATTTTCTTCTAATGAATGGTATTATTTATTAACTTCTAAAAGCTGCTAAAATTTCAGACGCCTAAAACCTGAGGTCTAGAAGAAAAACGATATGAAAAATTTCTTAAAAGTTGCTTAAGGTTTCGCTGCAATGAATAGTTGAAACATAAAATTTTTAAAACTATTGGGGGTTGTAATTTTAGATGAGAGAAGCTAGGAAAAAAATTTCTTCTACGAAAATAAGTTTCTAGCAAAATCTAATGTACTTGAAATTTCAGTTTTCTATCTTCAAGAGTGTAGAAGTTTTCCAAACATGTCCACATGCGAACGGACGGACAGAGTGAAACTAACAAGCACTTAGAAAAGTGCTAAAAACTGACATATATGTGTAAGTATATAACTTTATATACATATGTACATACATATAAATGAAAATATGAACATAGAATTTTAGAGAGTTTTTTTTCTTTTTTAATAATTTAGAACAAAAATACACCTTTTAGACGTCTAAACAAAATGATTTCAATGGAACTAATGCTTACACATAGAAACTTCGAAAACGTTCGAAGTATGTTTTACTTGTACACAGTTGATTTAAGTTTAAAGGTTTTTTGAGATTTAACTTTTATAGACTATTGGTAGTGCTATGTTTTGAATAAACAAAATTCATAACTTCCTGGGGATTTTATAATGTTACTGTTAGACTTGAGTACATAATCTGGCAACAATTAAAAAGTTAGATTTCACAGTTAGATTTTTTTCAACACTTTGCACAGATACGCACAACGCGCGTACTTTTGATTAAAACTCAACAAGACTCAAATACGTACATATGTATTTTTTGGTTTTTGTGAGTGCACAGTTTTGGTTTTTATGTTTGTAAATTACGCTTTTATATATATACATATGTATGTAAACGTAGGAACTCACTTTTTACATGTGTACAAACCTATATATACATTCGCAATTGTGTTGGTTGAGATTTAAAATATCTAATAATAAAATTGGATTATAATTAAGTTGTTTTTTCTTGTGTTATTTTTATTTTTATATTATATTATTGTGTTAAATTAGGCACTTTACATTCAATTTTTTTATTTTCTTTTGGGTATGTAATTTGAGAAATCAAGGAGTGAATAGATGTGTGGAGAATATTATAATAACAGGGTGGCAATATGAAATTTTGGTACTTTGCAAAAAAAAAAAATAAATTATTTCATTTATGTGTATTTTAAGTCGTAAAATTTACATGTTTTCTAAAATTTTTTATGAGTTAATTTTTTATTATCGAATGTCCTGGAGGCTATAAATATAAGGCTTTATAAATAATTTTTTTTCTCCAATTTTTTCATTTTATTGCAAGAAAGAATGTTATTAAAATTTTGTTTTCTCTTTAAATTAGGAATACAATTTTATGGATAGGTGTAGGCTTATTGTCATGAGGTCATTGAAAAGTTTTAAATATACATACGTATTATATATATGTACGCATCTTATATACAATAATATTTAATTAAAAGTAAAAGTGAATGTATAAAGTAAATATATAAATGCATTCAATATGGTAGCAATTGGGTTAAAATTGGAGAAAAAATCATATAATATATAAAGTTGTATGAAAGTTAAATTAAATTTTATGAAAACGCACCATTTTGTTTTGAAAAGAAAAAACTTAATGTTAAAAAAAATTTTATGACTTTTAATAATAAAGCAGAAAAGTAGATGTTATATAGCTTTTTTTCCTACAGAAAGGATGGTAGTCGTTTAGTGATATTTATTTATTTTAAAGCTATAACTGAAAAGAAAGTGTGTATATTTAATATTAAAAAAACATTAAGAAATTTGTTAAAACATTTTGAATTCTCTTTTCTATCCTTTTCTGTAGCTATGAAGTAAATTTATGGTTAAAATTTCTATTTTATAATATAAGTGTAATTTGAATTATAAAATGTTCGTCACCCTACTAGATTAAAGACCATTAAAATCATAATTAAATTGGAGATCCCATTAAAAGAACATTTTTAATTTCTTAAAGGTATAAATTTTTTTGCAAAGTTATGTTGTGTTGTAGATGTATTAGGTTAGGTTAGGTTACACGGCCCTCCGAAGGGTACACCTAGGCCACTAAGGCCCGTTGTGATGCCACGGGATCCCCCCTCTTTCCCTCACTAGAACCAGCCAGAGTTCCTCAGAAACCGGCCAAGGTCCCTAGCATTTACATTCGTTATGTCCGTGGCCTGCTCAAAACAGTGAGACCCAAGAAACCTCTGCCTGGAGTTCGCCAACGCCGGACACGAGCATAGCAGGTGGGTCACCGTTTCCTCCTCCTCCTCGTCACGGCAGCTCCTACAGAGATCGTTTGCAGGGCGGCCCATCCTCCTGGCATGATCGCCGATCAGACAGTGTCCAGTTAAAACCCCTATAACCGCACCAATATCCTCCCGTCGGAGAGATATTAGATCCCTCGTGCGACGAAGTCTAGCTTTGGCCACAACTTCCTTGCCGCGTTACACATAGTTCCATTCGCCCATCTGAGATTGTTACGTTCTACCGCCGCAATGCGTAGCAGCAGCTTGTGAGTGCTTAGAGGCATGCCCAGGTTCTCCTTTACAGGTAGAATTCCGAGGGTCGTTTCCGAGGCACCCCTTGGAGGGTGCCCCTTCCAACAGAGCGCTCAATGCATGACCCGCCAAAGCTGGCCCTGATGGATCTGCCCGACAGCATATTCCCTATCAGGGCAGTCAGGGAGCCATAAACTGAGAGCTCCGACAGAGCCTGAGTGATCGACCGCGACCTGACATTGTTGAGAGCGCCTTCAATATCTAGGAAGGCAGCCAGTGTGTATTCCCCGTAGTTAAGGGACTCTTCAATGTAGTGTATCAAGGAGTGTAGGGCCGTTTCCGTTGACCTACCCTTCCGATACGCATGTTGTGCCGGAGACACTCAGCTCGGATTAAGGTTGCTCCTTATGTATGGGTCTATCAATTTTTCTAATATTTTTAGTAGAAATGATGTTAGACTAATTGGTCTAAAATCCTTTGGGCAGTGTGAGAGCTCCTCGCACTTTTAGAAATGAAGACGACCCTGGCAACATTCCACGATTTTGGAATGTGAGCTAGGTCTATACAGCATTCGTAGATAACTTTCAGCCAGGGCAGGATAATCTCTGCCGCATTTTATAATTCCGCAGGCACTATATCATCTGGGCCCGCCGACTTGAGTTAGTTGACACGCCACCCTAGAGGCGCCATTTATTGCGTCGGCGAGCGTGCAGACCATAGTATCAAAGCCCTCACTTGCTCAGGACGAGGGGGGACCCCACTACCCAATATGTCGCTTAGCGAGTCTCTGAACTTTGACCAATCAGTCCTTTTGCGGTTTGTGAAAATCAAGGAAGCGTTTTTGTTGGTTACCAACTCGAATTCTATATAACGGTGGTCAGAAAAAGAATGATCTTTTGACACTTTCCAATTCCTGACCAGAGCAGCAAGAACGTTTGAGGCAAGAGTTATATCTATAACCTCCTGCCGATTTTTAGTAATAAAAGTGGGCTCTGAGCCTCTATTACATAATGTGAGATTAGTGCTTTAAATAAATTCTAAAAGTGACTCACCTCTCATGTTGGTGTCCGAGCTTCCCCAGATTACATGATGCGCATTGGAACCGCTCCCCGGTTCGCAGAGACTTAGCCTTCTCCACCATGTCATTCAAATTCTCGGGCGGTAGCTTTCCCTGGAAGTCGAAGGGCAGGTATACTGATGCCCACCAAGAGGTACTGCCACCAGCTTCCAGACTGACTACAGTGAAGTCTTCATTAATGTAAAGAGGTAATAGAAAAGCATTTAAGCTACTTTTAATAAGTATGCATTATCTTACCTTCGAACTGTCGTCACTATAAAACAGCTTGTATCCTGGCGTCCTCAGTCCGCAGATCTTTCTCCATGCTATCCAGGGCTCCTGGACCAGGACCATATCTGCGCCACCCCTTTGTAAGCGGAGAAGAAGCGCAACTGAAGCTGCATTAGAGTGGTGGAGGTTGATCTGAATTGCACGAAGCATTACTGCCTTCGTTAACCTCCACCAGCGTCTTATCTGCATCCTCGTCCAGATCCAAGTCCAACAAAGCCCCCTCCAGATTCAGATCAAGATGAATTATGTTCAAAAAAATTTTGTTTTTTTTTTTCTCAATGGTTCAAACATACGCACTTTATCAAAGCTGATTTTCTTCTAATTAAGACAACAAACAATAAATATATTAGCGAAAAATAAAAGTATTTTATTCCGAATAAAAGGAAGTTTTCTTTTCACACCAATAATAAAAAATGAATTATGTTATCGTCTGTCAGCCCCGCTTCATCCAGCATCTCTGCTTCTGATGAGAGCGGGGACTGACCCGACGATTTCTCCGGAGCCCTGTTGGCGATGTTGACGACCGATGGCATACCTTCAGGATGTTCCCGTCGGTCACTCTGCTTCTGGGCCGCCTCAACCTTTGTGTCTGTTTTATACACTTTAAGGGTTATGGAGGAGAACCCATAGTTAAGGACAAGTCTCTGACACTGCAGAGGTGCCAAAGATTCCCTATTTATTATTATGAGGGCCTGCCGGTAAGTTGGGATTGCCCAATTTGATCATCTCCAAGATGGTATCAGTGCTCGACGGCTCAGCTGGAATCCAAGCTCGAGACCGCGGTTTGCTTGGGATTTGGTCTTTCGCAACGACCGCAAGCCTAGCACCGGGCCAAACTTCCCCTACTCCTGCTATCGCCTTTTTATACAGGTCGAGAGACCTGCCGTCAGCACAGGCCACAAGTTTGACAAATCCCTGGTGCCATCCTTGGTCTCTGCACAAGGGATATGGGCCTGGATTATCGTTCATGATTTGAGGAAAGCCCGCCATTAGTCGGCTTTCAACTTTCCTCCAATTCTCAGCAGAGATCCTGCCATCTTCTTGCGCCTGTTCAACCACAGCGACAACAAGATGGTCCTTCAGGATCTCACTAAAAGGCCTCATAATGGATGCGCTCGAGGGTCTGTTCTGTGGCCTTGGCTTTTTAGATTCCCGAGGTGGTTCCTCTGTGGAGCGCTGTCGTTTTGTTGCCACAACCCTCTCGCTTAATCGCTTGTCCACAATACTCTTGGCTCAGTTGTAGGTGGACCTTTCTTCTTCAGACCTGTCTTTTTCCGGAATTCGACCAATCCTTTCCAGGTTCCTAAATGCAGAACGCCGTTCCCTATAGGCCCTTTGCGAGGGCGTTATCGTTGCTGACGGCATTCTTTTCTTGCTCTGGCCAGTTTGTGCTACCGTAGCCATCGAGCTACCACCGACACTAGGCCTGACTGAGTCATAGCTTTGTGTGCGGTAGCTCGGTCCCGGTTGGGACTCCTTACGCACTTTAGGTTTTGCACCAGTGCTTTTAGCATTCTTGGTGCTCGCCTGCGGTTTTTGTACTGAACTCGCCCTCAGCGATGTTTCAGCACGGTTTGCAGAAATTGGCTTGGCCAAATTTCCTTCCGGCTTTTTATGAGTGCCGGACCCATCCACCTTTGTTTGATTTGCGCTCTCCATTTTGATCCCACGAGTTGCGGAGAAAGGATGTCGATCTAGGCAGAGATCCGCCGTACCTAGACAAGGCTAAATAATCCGATGGGCGCCCGGTATCCGGGCCTCCAGCCAACCTGATTACCGGTACGGGTTGCGTAACACCTTAATCTTGGCCAGGGGGAATCAAGAGCGATAGGATGCAGTGGAGGGATAGGTGCGGGGAAAGGGTTTGATTATCTTTTGGTTTCTACGGGATTATCTACCTTGTAGATGTACTTAATATATACAAAATATGATGGCTGACAATGACAGTAAGAATTATTCATGTTATTTAAAATTCGTTCAGGTGCAATACTGCAGCCGTTTTTAATTTTATTTATAAAAATGAATTTTAGTTCATAATAAACATTTTATTATTTGAATTTCATAATATTTCTCCGATTAATTGTTGTGTGTAGTCGAAGTAGCAGCTACGAAGAGACAGATACTATTTACGCTACGATTTATATGCAAGTTTTTATTTCAATTTTGTTAGTTATTTAGCTAATAATATTAAAGATACAACATAAAAATATATGCGCAGCTTTTGTACTTTGGGAATACCTTTGGAGAACTAACGTAATTGTTTGAATTTCCTCATTAAAAATGGCATAATTATTGTTTTTACAATTCTTTAAGTTTTAAATATCTTTAATTTTTCTTATTTTATATTTCTTCGAATACAGTTTTATTTATTACAGACAACTACTTTATTTGCTATAAAAATTGTGTGTTTGTCGAAATGATTAGTACTTGCCATAACGAACGTAAAATAATTCCGGAATATCAGGATATAACAGGTGAGTTTCAAGAAAATTTTATTTTATTCTTTATTTATTAAAATCTTCACCAATTATTTCACGTCCCAAAAAACACCAATTTTTAATTCAAAATCCGGATATCTTATTATTGTTCTAATTACGTTACTTAAATTTACTAAATAATAAATATTATTTTAAAATATCATAAAATGATGAAATTTCAATTTAATATCAATAACACTATAATATATTAATTCAAATACATGCATGTATATGTATATGTACTTCCTTTTCAAAAGTTTTCAAGTTTATGTTTTCAAAATTTCAAATTTGAAATCCTTTTAAATCGCTTCTGTAGAATCATAAGTACAATGTACATATATATCGATATACACATATGTATGTATATGATTACTATTATAATATTATTTGAGGAAATTATTGCTCTGCTAACGTACGTGTTAAATACGTAAATAATAAAATATGTACATGCTACATACATATATGAAAATATACATATTTACTATATGAAGTTATACAAATCACAAGCGACTATATATTATGAAGATGTGCTTTCAGGTACATTGTGCTTAGGTGAAGCGCACGTAAATATTTATTTTAACCTTACATCGTTATTATTACGTTGCTTACATTACCTGGTTCATTAATTTTCTTTTTAATACTCGTCTCAAATTATCAAAAAGCTCATTTATTAACATCATTTACAAACACACACGTTCACTTATATTTAACTTGGTTGTATAACCTTCTCTAATCGGATTTCAGAAATTTAAATATTCATCTTTGTATTGATGTTATGTAGCTATAGAAGTTCAATTCCTTGTTATATAAAATTAGTCTTATGTTCTGTTTTTTATAATTTTCTGTTTTTATACCCTGCACTTCGTGAAGGGTATATTAACTTTGGTATGGAGTTTGTAACTACTTGAAGAAGTCATCTGCGGTATGGACATATATATATATATTCTTGCTCAGCGCTAAATTCTGCGTCGATTTAGACATGTCCGTCCGTCCGTCCGATCGCACGATAACTCAAAAACGACTAATGCAATCGACACCAAACTTTCACAAGTTGTTTCTTTTGTGCCGAAGACGGCTGCGATTGTAATTGGACCTATTCGGAGAACGGGTTCGGGTAACTTCCATACAACTCAAAGAGTTTATCTTAAATATTTCAAAAACTAATAAAGCTATAAATATAAAATTTTGTATACATGTGTCTAATTATATTCTATATATGCTCTAAAAATTATAACGGTTCGGGTGGCTGCCATACAACTCCAACAGCAAATTTTTTATATTCGGCAAAATAATAAAGTCAGATTCATGAAACTTGGCAGTCATGTGTCCAATTATAGGTCAAAGATATTTCTGAAGTTTTAAAGAAATTGCTTGACAGGTTCGAGTACCTGCCATACACCTCCAGAAGCTAATTTGAAATATTTGGAAAAATAATAAAGTTAGTTTCATGAAACTTGGCAGTTGTTTGTCGAGTTATAGGTCAGATATATTTCTAAAGTTTTGATGGGATTGTTCAGGTATTTGCCATACAACTCCAAAAGCTAATTTTAAATATTTGGAAAAATTATAAAGTCAGATTCATGAAACTTGGCAGCCGGATGTCCAATTATAGGTCAGATAATATATTCGTGAAGTTTCTATAGAATGATTTCACAAGTTCGAGTAATTGCTACACAATAACGAAAGGTGCAGGGTATAATTCAATCGGTTTATACCGACTGAGACGTTTTTACTTGTTTAGTTTACATATATATGTACATACATAGTATGTATATAAAATAAGGATGCTTAGAAATATTTTTATCTAAAAATCTAATTTAATTTTAGGCTCTTTTGAAAAACTGACAAAAATATTTAAATTCATTATCATTCAGCATTTTTTACCATTCATTTTATTTCGAAATAATCAAAAATAAAAAATTTTGAAACTAATCCTCTACTAATGAATATAAGAGTTTAATAGAAACAATTCAGAAGTACAAGAAGTAAAAACGAATAAAATGTTAAGTATAATAATTATTTTCATTTGTTCGTCATTTTTAGAATTTTTTATTTTTACTGTTTTAAGATTGCCATTATTTATAATCTTTTTTAATTCAACTGTATTAAAGTGTTGCACTGTAAAAAACAATAATTAAGTGGAGATGTATGTTATGTGTATAATAATGAAAGGAATGAAATACCCTTGAAAACTACAACTCTTTCACACAATTAGTATATAGTAAATTGCAAAATTTCTAGTTGCTTAAAGACGATCAGATACACGCCAATTTGATTAAGGTTTTTTTTCGCAAATTTGTAATATTTACAATGATGTTTCAAAATAATAACAATTAAGATTTTTTCACTATATTGTTAACATATCTATATGGATATATAGAAAAGTATCTATATGGAAACTTTAATTCGTCTATTGAAATGTTTGAAAAATAAAAATAAGCTGCGTATTCAAAACCAATTAAACGCAAATCATTCGAATTTATAAGTATGGAATCACTTTAGGCAACTAAACGTTTTAATAATTAGGAAGTTTTTATTTAAGAATTGTAAAAAATTGCTTTAATGTTGAAATTTGAATTTTCATATGAATTACAAGTTTTAAATACGTAAAAATTGAAAAGCTTTGATTCAGTATATTGTAAAATTTTAATGTAGATGTTTTCAGGTAAAAACTTGATATACATATTTTGATTTTGAAAAAAAAACTAAAAGCGTCAAAATATTGCAAAAAGAATATATAAAAACATAGAGTCATCCTAAAATCCAGAAGTTTATACGCTAGTACAAATTGTAGTTAAAATTCCCAAAATTGTTTCTTCATCAGACTCCCATCCCATCATCAGACTCCCGTCAGTAATCGTCTACAAACTAGGATCTAGAAGAAGAACGACATCTAAAATTTGAAGAAAACAAATGTAATACAACGGTGAATTTTAACTACTATTTTGTTTTTTAAAGTTCGAGTAAAGTATGTTTCGTTAAAGGAAGCAATCTAGTGCTTTTTATGCGTTTGCAAAATTTGAAAAATGCTTATGGGTTTACTTCAATAAATAGTTGAAAATTGCACTTTTAAAGTTTTGTGGGGGTATAACCAGTGATGCTTTCCCAAAATTTTATCAACCGGTTCGCAGTGAAAAATAATTTTGGTTCATATTCTTTGCTAATAAAATACAAAGTAGAATGAAAAAAATGTACCACTTTTATTTCTCTATTCATTTCAAAAAATAAAAAATTGTTTAAATATAACAAAAACATAATGAAAAATTCAAATTTATTATCATGTATATATGATACTATAAATATTAATTTATTTTAGATATTTCCAAATAGCTAATTGATTTTCTGTATATTCCTTGGCTTTGGATTTTTTAACCCTGGTATCACCTGCTGAGTTATGGTTCCTTAACCAACTTGTTACATAGGGAACTGCAGTCTAACTTTGCAGTGGTTCACCAAGTAAGTTTAAAGTCATAAGATTTGATAAATTCTTCACCGATAATCGAGATCTTATGTCGGTAATTATAAGGTTCATCAGAGAAAACCCCCGCTCTGCTTCAGCACTGCTAACAGCAATGGTATTTATAATATTTTTCGCTTTTTGAATGTTTTCTTGAATTTTAGGAATTTCCTGATTGCCATTGCATATTATATCTTCTAAATAATTACGGAAATCATTCTTATGGATATCAAATTTGAAAACATTTCCAAATTCTTCAAATTTCTCTTCGGCCTCTAACCACGGAACCACAATATGTTCAATTTTCCATGTACTCGGCTCTAGCAAATTTGCTAGTTCATAAATTTTGGTGTTTTCAATATTTTTTTTATCACTACTTGATCTTATTTGAGAACAATCTATCAATCTTAATTTCATATTCTTGATGATGCTGTCAATAAGAGAATCTCTAGCCAGGTTTCCATAAATTTTATTTTCAGTAAAATTAATATTTTTTAATGCTTCGGAGTTAATAACTTCATCTACTTTTTTTTCGTAAAAACCGCGACTGTTTTTGAGGATTTGGAAGGCATTAATTGTTCTTCTAATTAGTTGATCGCCTCTGGCAATGTTTATATTTCTAGCTTGAAGTGCGTTGGATAATAGAGAGCAATCCTGAAGGATGTCGATCATTAGAGCTAAATCTATTAGGAAATATTTGTTTTGTAATCGTTTTGCCATTCCAGAAAACTTTTGAATAGAGTTAGAAGAAAAAAACTCATATAAAGCAGGGTAGCTTCGCCATACAGCAAGAGCAGCTCTTAAGCTACATGAAGCCCATCTTGGCCCCAACACTCTTACAATTTTAATGATATCCAAACAAAGGTTCTCAGAAATATTATTCAGTTCTTTTTGGTTTTTATTAGATTGATGAAAAATACTATATATTCTGTCCATAAAAAGTTTAAAATGATTAATTTGTTTGATGTCGTTTATGGAATCATCTAAAACAAGTTGCAGACGGTGACTAAGACAATGCCAAATAATAACATTTGGAAAAATTTCTTTGATCCTTGCACTGACTCCAGATTTAGAGCCAAGCATAACGCTAGCGCCGTCAGAACAAAATCCTATTAAATTAAGTTTTAAATAATTCATGTCAAATCCTACAGCGAGCAATACTCTCAACAAACTTTCAAAAATAGTTTTCGCATCTTGTGCATCAAGCTCCGTAATATCTACGAAAATTATTGGGGATATTTCAGAAGATTCTACTGTAGATGATTCCACTTTAATGAAAACTATGAGCGTTGATTTACTGGAAATGGTGGAAGCTTCGTCAATAATAATACAAATTTTTAAATTCTTCTTAATAATTGAAGTAAAAATTTTTTTCTTAATTTCTTTTGAAATATGTTCTACTATCTTAGTTGAACTATGTCGAGAATGAAGTCCAACTCCCATATTCAAACCATTTTTGACTTGAAGTTCAATCTCATCTTCTAGGTCTGAAAATGGACGATTTCTTTTCGCTAGGCTATAAACAGTATTAAAAACTTTCGTAGTAGATGCAATAAATTTCTCGTTTATTTTATCGATGCATGTAGCCAAAGTTTGTTTTTGCTGGATTTTTTTATGTTCAACAGCTTGATTGTGTGCTTTTGATGCAAAATGTTCGCTCATTTTTTTCCTTAAAGATGCTTGTTGCACTGTTTTGTTTTTTCCCGATGTGGTAACTTTACATTCTTTCCATTCCTTAGATACTAAATTGGAATTCATTTTTAAACAATACTCACATCCCAACTTCTGATTTACCACCAATAGGCCATCATATTTCATTTTAAAATGTTCCAACTGATTCGCATTCCAACAGCACGGTAAACTATTAGTGGTGTCATTTTGAAAATTATAAATTTCTAATGTTTGATTCTCTAATGTTGATGAACCTGCTTCTAACTCAACTCTGGACGATATGCTTTCATCATTTGGTGATGTTTCCGGTTTCTGTTTTTTTGAAAAATAAATGTTTAACACATTTTGTCTCTTCATTTTAAAAAAAAATTAGGATTGATTGATAAATAAATTACGTAAGGTGAAACATTAAAACGGTTATTTATTTTAAATTACTTCCAAAATGACATTACGAATACCGATTTAATGTTAATTCACAATAGTGTTTATCAAAAATTCACAGTTTCAGACTTCAGCACAAAAATTCAACAAATGACATTGCGAATATACTTGAAAATTACCTATAAACATAGATTTAAAAATATTGTCAGAGCAGAAATTTGACACTTATATATATGTATATTGGATGTATGGTACATTCGAAAAGAATGCTACGGCTTTTAAAAAACGATCATTATAGAAAAACAGTTTGAGTCATTCTTAGAACAAAATTTACAAGATTTATATTCAAATTTGTAATTTAAAAAAAAAAATTTGTAATGAAAACATTACAAAAGTATTTTTACTTTATGTCTACTAATTATAAATTGCCGGTTCGCGCGAACCTTAAGATTTTTATCAAACGGTTCGCGCGAACCGGTGCGAACCGGTAGGAAAGCATCACTGGGTATAACTTCCAGAGGGGGGAGATAGGTAAAGATTTTTGTAAGTTTTGTAAGCAGACGGACAAACTATTCAACACACTTTTTGTCGAAATTTTTTTGTCGACACGCAGCTCGTCGTGTTCATACATAATTAACATAAAGAAATTATATTCCCGTAGTGTGGCATGTTAATATATTCTTATGAAAATTCTTTATTTTGCTCTTACAATTAAAGTAAATAAAAAATTTTAATATTATACTGCTTCAGAGAATAAGTTTTAGTTTTTGTAAATCAGAGTTAAATTGAAAATAATTGGAAAATCCAAAATTAAAATGATAATTGAATAAGACAAATGCACAAAATATTTGTAAATGTCTGATTTAGGTTAAATTGCCATATTTTTTATAAAAAGTTTAGTTTGTCAACTCTGTGATACCCGTACGAGTTTGTTATCCTATGCGCGAATAAATATGTCACATCTGACTATGGAACAGACTATAACTTTAAGTTGCCACATTACCATAATAATATATGCATAATTTCAGTACAGTGTTTTCTTTATATTTTCTTAGATATGGCCAAATTACTGTTGAAGTTGTTTGAGAGCTACCAGAAGGAGCCATGCAATTTCAAAGACTTTTATTAAACACATCGGCACTACTAATATATTTAGTTGTACGAAATTTCAGTACCACAAATTTCATAGTTTTTAAGATATAGACAAATAAATTTGTAAGTTGTATGGCAGCTACCCGAACCAGTACCTCGATCACGTCCAATTTAAATAGGGTTTTGGCACTTACTTTAATAAATCATTTATGAAAATTTGGTGAACTTAGCTCAATTAATATTTGAGTTATTGCTGGAACGGACGGACAGACAAAGCTAAATCAACTCAGAATTCGACGATGATCAAAAACATATACTTGAGTCTATATATCAGGCCATTATTTCTTAGCGTTACAAACGGTAAGCCAAATTTAGTATACCCTTCCAACATACGTTTGTACGGGTATAATAACAAGTATAAATAATAGACATAAAAGTAATAAAGAAAACTTTAACCATTTGAAGGGTAGCCATAGTTTAGTTTTATCACTTTGTTAAAAAAATTATATGCAATATTAGTTTCGTTAGTTTACTTAAGAAAACTGGTTGTAATCAAATTTAAATAATATTAGAAATAATTAAATAAATATTAGAAATAATTAAATAAATATTAAATGTATAATTACGCATATAAAATGTATAAAAACCAGCTCTGGCTTACTGTCAATTTGAACCGAGTACTAGCATTTTTGAAAGGTTCGGAAAAAAAGACTAAACCTTAATTTTCTCTTAAGAAATTTTATACCTTAAACAAAACAAAATCTCCGAATTTAACAAAGAATATATGTACATATTTACATACATAAATAAAGTATATACGGAAAAATGCATTTTCATTAATGAACGCATATTTTTAATATAAATACATATATAAAATAAATATAAATCTTTTGCACTTAAAGGGTTAATTAAATTCATTCAACTCCTAATGTGAACAGGAAAAAAAAGCAAATAAACTCATAGGCACAATTTTTGTTGAATCAAAAGTTTTGATTGGCACAGATGCTAATCAAGACTTTTTATCAAACCAATGTCTTACAATTAAAATGAATAAAAAATTTTATTATTATACCGCTTCAGAGAATAAATTTTAGTTTTTATAAATCAGAGCTAAATTGAAATATTTATTAAATAATTCCTTTTTAAGTTGAGCAGTATTAAGAAATTTTGACAAATTGTCGAGATTGTTGTACCGAATGATTCCCATATGCATAGACGTTGCCGTTCCATTGTAAACTGTATTTTGACGGTTCAATTTTACACAACCTCTATTTCTCGTGTTTATCGTATATATTTCATTTCTTCGAACTAATCCAGTAATAGAGTACTTAACTCTCAATTACTTTTTATTATGGCTTATTTAACTTTCGCTTTCGTCTAACTGGGGAATGCGAACGAATTATCATTTAATTACAAATAATGAACTATCTGGGAATATGAATTTGATAGTGCAACGAAACTTTTCATCATTCTTTACTGAAATTCTCTGTATTACCGGTCATAAAATGTTTAATTTTAATAATTCAGACACAATATTTTTAAAAGTTCTAAGGCTATTTATAATCACGTTTTGTTTAATCAACATAATCTAAATTATCAAATAAATTGTATTTATAATCTGTAGTGATCAAACTAATTGATTATCATAAAGATTTAATTTTGTTATCTCAAGCATGTTTCATTTATATCGCTTTAATTGTTTATATTGACTTTTCAAATTAAAAACTTTCCTTATTTCCTATTTATACCCATACGAACGTATGTTCGAAGGGTATACTAAATTTACGTTTCCGTTTTAACACTAAGATATTATGGTCTTTGATATAGACTCAAGTATATGTTTTTAATTCCGAGTCGACTTAGTTTTGTCTGTCCGTCCGTCAAAACGATAACTCAAAAACTAATTAAGCTATGATTTATTATAGTAAATGCCAGAACCCTATTTAAATTGGATATGATCAAGGTGTTGGTTCAAGTAGACAAACAACTTCAAAATTTATTAGGCTATATCTCAGAAACTACAAAAGGTGTGATATTGAAATTTCACATACGCGAATATATTAGTAGTGCCAATGTGTTTGATAAAAGTCGTTGAAATTGCTCCTTCCGGTAGCCGTCATACAACTTCAATAGTAGTTTGACCTTATCTTAGAAAACATTGAAAACACAGTAACTGAAATTTTGTATAAATAAAGTTGGGTCAAACCAATGGTTTGTATTGTAACACTTTTCCCTTCAACAAGTGAAAATTCTGCTTTTAAATACAGTCTATGTATACCTATCACACTATTAAAATTATTTTCATTCATATTTAACTATTTCTAGGATTGCATATATTTAGGATGATGCATTCATGCAGTCTTTGAAATAAAGCAAAAATTAATATAAAGAGGGGTTATCATAATGCTCGATTTTAAGGTTTAATTGTGTGAGTTAAGAAAAATAATTATATTTTTTAATGTCATGGAGTTTACCGCTAGCCTTTTATGTTTATAGAAATTTAAAACGTTTGCGGTTTCGGAAATATAAGGCGCCAAAAATTCAAATTTTACAAATTTCAAGAGGCGATAACTTGAGAGGAGGTGGAGATGGAAAAAAATTTTCTTTTAACGAAATTAACTATTTGTTAATTTCTATAAGCCCCTAAAATATCAAGTTTCTACAGGCTGGGGTCTAGAAGAAAAACCAAATCAAAAATTTGGAAAAAAAAGACTTTAGATAACGGTAAATTTGAACGGCCATTTTGTTTTTCTAAAGTTTAGCTATAGTATACCGCGCTAGTGGAAGCAAGCCACTGCCTTCATGAGTTTGCAAAATTTCAATAATGCTTATGGTTTCATTGCAACAAATAGTTAAAAAAGGCCATTTTTAGGGTTTTGGGGGGGTATAACTTCTAGAGCGGGGGAGGTAGGTAAAAATTTTGTTCTACGGAAATAAGTTTTTAGTAAAGATCTATGTACATATAAAATTTCAGCTTTCTATCCTCAAGGGTGTAGAAGTTTTGTAAACAGACACATGGACAGACGGACGGACGGACGGACGGACGGATGGACGGACGGCCGGACAGACGGACGGACGGACAGAGTGAAAGTAATAAGCACTTTTTTTCAAATTTTTTTTGGAAAAGTGCTAATTAATATGGTAATATGCAACCTAATGTCATAATCTGTTCCATAGTCAGCTATGACATAATTATTCGCACATAGGATAGCAAATTCGTACGGCTATCACAGAGTTGAAACGGTCAACTCAATTTTTTCTCGTTTTAATTTACTTTTCTTGTTACTTTTAAAATGGCTTAAACTTTTTCTTGAGGCAACGATATTGAAGTGAAAGGATAAAATAGACCCTTTTACTTAAATAAATTTTACAAAAAAATTTCAAATAATACCATAACACGAATTGAAAAAGAAATTGAAGGTAGCAATTTTGAATTTATAGCTAAGTTGAAATAAAAAATTATTATTCGGTATATATGCAGGTATCGCTTGTTCTTTTTCTGACATGAAAGAATTATCTTCAAAAACTTTTTTTCCTTATAAGTAATCTAAGCGAGAAGCAATTTATGCGAGAAGGTTTAGAATTCTTTATATAAAGTAACATATATTTAAAACTTTGTATAAAAGGAAAATTTTAAGTTGCGCTGGGCAATCATTGATTCTCTCGAATCTTGATCAAACATAGTTATTCAACTGTTTTAAGCGATTTTAACTAAGGAAAATCAATTCAAAGTTAGACAGATAAATTATAAGGCTTCAAAAAAAAATTTTGTGAAGTTTTATTCCTTTTTTATTCGTAAACCTCTCTTTCGTGTAACGCATTTCCTTTTTCACTCTTTAGTTCATGGCGATTACTACTTCTTCCATTTAATTCGAAAGTTTATT